ATTTTCTTTTTATTTAATACATCTTGAATCTTTTCAATCAATATATGTTGATTCCATGCACAGAATAAATTTTAACTGTACTTCAACATTTTATCACCATCCAAGGAACAAATAACTTTAGGTTTTTTAGTTTGTTTTTGATTTTGCACTTTTGCATGTTTATTAGCAAATATTCATTGTTAAGGGAAATTCATTGTGTCAATTCTAAATAACCTTTCATTGTACATTGTTTAGATCTCTCCCTCTATCTCCCCCACACAACTCCCTCTCCACTGCACTTAAAGCAAATATAAGAGGTTCCATTATAAGTTCTATTTCATGTATGTATATGAAGCCAATCAACCATATTCCTCATGTTCATCTCCTCTATTCACTCTCACCCCACCCACAACTACTCCCCCCGACATGTACCTATTTTACAGTCCTTAGTTTCACTTTTAATTCCAAAGTCAATGTTCTAAAGGGTTACTAAATGTTTCCCAGCTTTGGTCAGTTCAACCCCCACTGACTGAAGTACTAATTCAGCTCTCTAGTACTTATGTGTGGTTTGTCATTACTCTCCTCATGAAACAAATGAAATTAGACTGAAGTGGTGCAGGTAGAAAACATAGTATCTAACACTACAGTATAATCTGTATCATTTAACATAGTGGTAGTGTGAAGTGGTAGATTTGATCTTTTATTCAAAAAACCTGCAAGAATTTTTAATCTCAGGATGAGCAAAATGCCAAAGCTTTGTAACTGCCAACTGATAGAAGTGATATTGCTCTTCTTCCTTACCTCTACAAAATCATCCTTTACATTCATCATGCACACTTAGTTTTTAATGCATGAGTTTCTTACTATTCTCTGTAAATATTAGTCCTGATATTGTCTGGAAAGGTTCAATTTCTTTCCTTCCTGAAACTTCATGCAAATAACTGCATGTTTTTTCATACACTTTTCTTAACAACAGCATTCCTTACACTCTATTTAAAATAATATCCCTCCATCATGCTTCATTAATACGTCATAGTAGTTATAACTATTTGATGTTTTATTGCACTTGCCTTTTGCTTTTTGTGTCTTTACCGATGATTAGGGAACTATGAGCACAAGATTTTTTTCACAATCTAGAATAGCATCTGAATAAGTCTATTTGGTGGCTGTAATTTATAGATGATAAAACTGGAACACAGAGAGATTAAATAACTTATCCATGGCCACACAGCTGGTTTAGAACAGGCACACATTTGAACTCACACAGACTTGCCCTAGAGCCCTCATTACTCATGGTCATCCAATTATATGACTTTTTTGATAGTATCCTGTTATAATCAGATTGTTTTCTGTTTGCATTAAAAAAGCATAAACTAAAAATATCAGAAGTGATTGATAAATGTATGTTTCTTCAAATATTATCTAGAGCTCTAGAGGTGCTGTGGGCAGCTAGTATGATTTCGGCAGCAGTAAATCTTCTCAAACACTCAGTCTCACATATAGAATAATAAACTTCGAAATGGACTGTACAACATGAATCCTGGGTGGAAAAGTGTATTAGTTAGGATACAGACTTTTGTAGTATTAAAAAGGTATTTAACAACAGATTGACTCTACAAAAAGAAAAATGTCCTTACATATAGCCTCATTCTCATTGCTCTTGCACTGAACAAAGTGTCTGGGTCACTACCATTTACATGAAAATCCAGGGACTCAGGTACTTCTATGTTATCACTACTATTTCCCAGCTTTTGCCCTCTTCTACATGCTTAAAGAGGAGTTCATTCAGTCTGAGGTAAAAGTCTGCATTCTGCTTTGAATGAAAAGTAAGATTTCTACACTTGAAAAATTCTTCCACACTGTTCACATGGATGGTCTTCATTAAATAACCAATTATAGGACTACTCTGATTACCTATTTCTTCTGATATATGCTCATTTAATAATTAAATTAGCAAACTTTGTTTATAGTGTTTCTATTTTTAATATTATGTGGGAACTGAGGCAGGTAGATCAGAGAAAAATGAGGCATGAGGAAGAGGAATTCAAAATTCAGATATAATCATTACACTGATGAATTGCTTGATAAAAAGCACACAGAGACTACTTTCTTTGCTTATTCTTCACAATCCTTTTTAAGCAGTAATATGTAGGTTTGTAATTTAAAAAAAAATCTCTTTCTCTCTCTCACCTTGCCAACTTTTACAAATGATTACTGTGGAAACAGGCTATGAATAACATAAATAATGATCCTTATCCTGTGAAAAACTTGCAAAACGTCTCCTTGTGTCACAGAAGTGTTTGCTAATGAGGAAAAAACTTATCTTACAGAGGGACACCTGACTTACAAAAGAACACCTGATGAAACACATCCTTTGTTTACAGAGATGATAAAGGAAAACAGACATCTATATCACAGGGACTCAAATTTAGAAAACCAAACAGACTTAATATCTCTAGACCTGATTGAAAATGTCAAAACAGTGTAACAGCAAAAATGACTGAATGTGCCAGATGTCCAGAACAAAGTGGAACAGTCAACCTAGGGTACATTAAAGCCAAATCCCAACACACTTTTTCTTCATAAGCACCCCTGATGTTAGAGCACTCAGTGTATCAGATGTGCCCACACCCACATCTGGGTGTGTTTATTTTCAAGTTTACAGATCCTTCCCTAATCTTTATGAACTCTACTGATAGGCTTATTGGAGAAATTATTTGTCTCTGATTTATCATGTGCTTTTGTGTGTATAAGCTTATTTCCCATATTTCACTGGACAATTTTGCAGTTTCCAACAATCTTTTGTTGTTGTTTACCCTGTCCACTAGAAATTTATTTAAGCAATTGCAAGACCTTTAGTAAAAGATGATCAAAAATATGTGTATTTTAGCCTGTTGATTATTTTAGACATTATTTTCAGCACTCTGTATGATCTTTCAGAGAAGACATTGAGAGTAATGTAAACCTTTTGTTTCAAGACTCTGCTTTTTCCAACTGCCTATATATTGCTGAGTTAGTCATGCATGCTTGTATTGTCACCAAATCTTCCTCCTGCCATTTGCTGAAAGTAAAAAAGTTCAAGGTTCTCTGTGTGATCTTGTCATTCCGTAGATTTCAGATTGCTACTATGCATGCAAACTCAAATCTTGGGTATGTTTACAGAAAAGAAATAGCAAGATAGGTAAGTGAAGTAGATGGTATGAAGGCAAAAGAATAAGGTGAGAGAAGCCAAGCACTGGTGGCTCAACCTGTAATCCTAACTACTCAGGAGGCAGAGATCAGAAGGGTTGCATTACAAAGCCAGCCTGGGCAAATAGTTCCCCCCAGAACCTAACTCAAAAATATCTTTCACAAAAGAGGTCTGGTGGAGTGGCTCACTGTGCAGGCCATGAATTCAGCCCGAGTACCACAAATAAGGAAGGAATGATAGCAAGATAAAGCAAAATAAAATAAGTACAGAGAAAGATTAAAAAAAATCAGTAAAACAAAGCTAAAAGAAAATAGTGATAACACAAACCTACCAGTCAGTTATCATTCCTTAGGAGAAAAGCATGAATCCCTCTTCCTGTAAGGTTGTCATTTAAGGTTTACTGTGTGTGGAGGAACAATACACTAAGTCTTTGAATTTCTTGACTTTATAAGATAAACTCTTGTATACAATGATAGTCAGAGCTGTGTTTCTTAAAACCAGATTGTTTTATTTTTAGACGAACTGTGAACATAGGTTCTTCTGTCAAATACTTACTTTTTCCAATACATATTATGGCTGCTTTTAGCATAATGGATCAGAAAAAATTCAAAGACTTAATTACTAAAAGTTATTATTTTTAATCTCAACCATGCATTTATAATTTAACTCCTTGTTTTTTATTGTGGGGCTGCAAATGGAACCAAGGGTCTCACTTACACTTGGTTAGTGATATACCACTGAGATACAGCCCAACTCAAGTATTAACTCAAAGGAATGTTGTTTTGATTTCTATAATCTGATGAAATATTTCTTGTAGAGTCACAGGACAATCACCCACATGGTAAATGATGGAAAATCTTTGAAAGAAAATATTTTGTCTTAATGATTCTTCATATACATAAATCTTGGAACAATTGTAAACAGAGTATAATAAATGAAATAGGAGAATGGGTTTTAAGTAAAAACCATATTTTCCAACTTGAGCCTTGTTTAACCATGTTTAAAACTTTTCAATAACATTCACAAAGATATGACTCATAGATCTAGGACAATGGGAGAATGAGGAACTGAGTCATGAATTGCAATTCAGGAGCAAAAGTCATAGCATCAAAACAGGCTAGCTTTCAAATCTTGGTGAAGTCATGTTAGTAGCCTTTTGTAAGGTATCCTTTAAGAAATACTTTTATTTGTTTTTTTCACACTTGTGTGTACTCTCCAAAAACATTGCTGCCTGTTACCAGTGTATTTTCCAGAGTTTCACATAAATCTGATCCATTTCTGGCAAAATGTTAGATAAAGAAAATATTGGGTAATGGAAAGGAAAGACATTATTAATGAAAGAAAAATCTATACATGAGTTAGAAAGTCTATTGCAGATATTATGCCTGGTTTGATCTGAGTATATGAATAGATGAGGCAATTGCAGTAACATCTGGGAGCAGGAGGGTTGAAGATGGGAAAATTAAATTTAAAGTGAGTGCCAGAGGCTTATGACCAAAATGAGGACATTTGAATTCAGAGAATCCAGAGGAAATTATTTTCACATTGTAAATCAAGTTATAAAATACTCTAAAGACAGAAATATGGGTGTATCATTGATTATTTAATACACATATGCTTGAAGATACAGATACGCTTATATATAAATGATACAATACATTGGTGTTTATGATATGCTGTATTACAGGAATGGATAATGTTTTACTTGAAATCTTTTAGGAATATAGGCACTATTAATTAAAATCAAGAACTTTTCCTATTTGTAGCCATAAAGATATAGAATTAACAACAAACATGAGTTTTTAAATCTACTCAATTTACAAAATGAACTTCATTTATAAAAGTTTCTCTCAAATAATTTTCTCATTGCCTCTTTTACATCATTGTTCCTCAAACTATAGATGATAGGATTCAACATTGGAATCACAATGGCATAAAATGTTGATACTATAATGTCATGCTCCAAGGCGTAACTGGAACTTGGTCTTACATACATGAAGAGGATTGTTACATGATATATGGACACTCCAGTTAAGTGAGACCCACATGTAGAGAAAACTTTTTGTTTCCCTTCACCAGAACGCATTCTCAGAATGGCCAACAGGATAAAGCCATAGGAGACCAAGACAATCAATATAGTGACCATTTCAATAGAACCCACAAAGTAGAAGAGGAGAAGTTGGTTCACTTGAGTATCAGAACAAGAAATAGCAAGTAGTGGAGGGATATCACAGAACACATGCCTGATTTCATTGGATCCACAGAAGGACAGGCTAAATGTGGCCACTGTGTGTAGAGTAGCATGTAAAATTTCACCAACATAGGAAGCAATGATGAGTGGTTTATAGACTCTGGGTGACATGCTCATTGAATACAGAAGAGGGTTGTAGATGGCTACATATCGGTCATATGCCATTGCAGCCGGCAGAACGCATTCTGTGGTTCCAAAAGTAACAAGGAGAAACATCTGTGATACACAACCAGGATATGTAATGGACTTATCCATTACTAGGAAATTGACCAACATTTTTGGGGTAACAACTGTAGAATAGCAGGCATCCAAGAATGATAAAACACTCAGAAAATAGTACATTGGGTTGTGAAGCTGGGAATCCCAAATAACCAGAGCAACCAGTCCAAAGTTTCCTATCACAGTGAAAAGATAGATGGCAATAAATAGTAAAAATAAGAAGATTTGCAGGTCAAAATCATCCTGGGAAGCCCATCAGTATAAATGTGTTGAGGTCAGTCACATTGTACAACTGAATCCTGTATAATGCCACGTCTGATTAAATACCTGACAATTCCATTATTAGAGATTTTAAAAGAAATATTCTGTGAATGTAGAACCCACCAAGTTAAGTTGTTGCATCTGTTAGGAAAAATGCCACACAAAGAAAACTCACGAGAAAACTCACGTCCAAGGGCAGGGTTTAATGGCAGGTACGAGGTAGTGCAGGAAGAAGAAAGGACAAAAGGGAAGGGGTTCAGGCCAGGCATGGCCTTTTACAGGAGAGGGAGGGTAAGGGGTTAGCACATACACTGGGGGTCCCTGATGGAGGTGGAGCTTGAGTGGAGCTTGTTTTGGAAGCACGGGAAACCTTGTTAAGGGGAGGGAATGGCTCCATTTTCCATGAGGTGCCACTGATTTATAAAATGGCAGCATTATTGTTCTATCATTCCCCCATTTTTCTCTTTAACTGCTTCCTGTTGGCAGGGGGCATTGTGTGGGTCAGGATCCTCAGGCTCCTGTGGCGTCTTGGATGGGGCCTTCACAGTAGTTTTCTGGGTGGTTTTGGAGAGGTTGGTATCTCTGGAGGTACAACTGCTTAAATTTTGGTTAGCAATAGCAGACATACGGTCTAAAAGAAATCCTGTATTGTTCTTATGATACAAGTGAGGAAACTTAAGAATAGGAGAGCAAGAAATACAGGCATTAGGATGGGCATTAACCAGGAGAACCACTGTGAAATGTTGTTCCCTAGAGGATCCCAAGAGTCCTCCAAATCCCTTCTCCGTTTTTCTAATTGTTCTTGGAGTTGCCTAATTTTATTTTTTACTACTCCTGACTGGTTAACATAGAAGCAGCACTCCTGTTGTAAAAATAAGCAGAGACCACCCTTTTCTGCAGTGAGCATGTAATGGCCTCGTCAGTTTTGGAGTACAACTGAGGCTAGGGAGTCAAGTTGTTTTTGTAGGGTTAGGATAGATTCAGCCACCGTTTGAAGATCACTTATCAATTGATTAGAGTTTTGTGTAGTAGTGGATAGAAGTCCCTATTGCTGCAGCCCCCTTTCCCATAGCAGCCATTATTCCCAGAGTGGCTAACAAGGGAATGGCCTGGATTGCCAGTTTTGATCAAAGATGTGCGGTGAGGGGGATAGGTAGGTCCTGATCTTCTGTAATAATGTCCATGTCAGGGACCAAAAATACCAGAGTGCAGATGCCCTTCCAGGCTTGGGGTAAACAGGGATATACACTCTGACCACATAAAAAGAAAGTCCCGGGAATGGGGGGGGGGGCAACAGATATTGTTCCCAGTTTTGTTGGCTGCCCTAGTAGTGTGACATTTTTTTGTCACCAGGGAATCTACCTTGACTATCACTGAGGAACTCTGTAGGCAGAGAGGGGCTGGCTGGAAGAGGGGAACTGGGGAAAGGGTGGAGGCAGTGGGACTTTTGGTGAAGGAACAGTTTAAGGTAAGAGGTGTGGAAATATTTATGGGGCTGGCGATGATCTGAGAAGGGCCAGTTCACTGACACATCCAACAACCACGGGCTAGAGTAGGATTAGTGTGGTTGAGTAGTTTATGAGTGGTATTTATGACCTGGAGGAGAAGGGTTTCAGAAAGGAACAGTGTTTGTAAAGGAATTTTGGAGGCTTTCTGGTGGGAAAGAATAGGTTGTCAAGAACCTGATGTACCTGGGTGTGGAGGACCTTCTTGTGTGCCTGATCCTGGACTCCTCCTCCATCAGACATACCATAATGTGTGAGCTCAGTACAGCACACTTTTTGCCCACAATTTCCAAAGCAAGTATAGCCCACGTTGCTGCCTTTACTCCTTGCAGTCCAGTGCAGTTTGCCCCACATTGTATATGGAGTAGCTGTATCATAGCAAGCCCTGTGCTGGTATGAATAAGATGAGGTGCACGAGCAGGGGGGAAGTTTGGGGCTCACAAGGGTACAGGTCATAAGAAAGAAGAGAGCACAAAGTGTAAGACGCACAGGGCAAGGTATCCAAAACAGAGAGCTGCGTGATGGGGCCATCTCCACTCAGGGGGAGAAGTTACCCACAGTCCAATACTCTGGAGGGAAGGGACAAGGACAAGAATTACCCACAGGAAGGAATGGAGTGGAAGCATAGGTGGAGTGGTTTACAGTAGAGCTTAGAGTATGTTGGAAAATGGGTAGATTTCTTCAAGAGTAAAGTCTGAGAGAGTATCTTGGAGAGGTAAGTAGGCTATCCAATCTATGAAGTAAGGGAGAGAAAGGTATGAAAAAGGAGGGAGGCTGATTATACTGGGGGGTGGGAAATCTAAAACCTCAGAGTAGAGTGTATACAGGAAAGAGTAAAAGCACGGGCAGGCACTGACAAGAAAGAATGGAAGGGGGAAGTATAAAGAGTGAGTAGGTGAGATGCCAGGTCCCCAGGCATAGGGCTCCTGCCTATGCCCTGGGAGTCTCCTTGAGTGTGTCTCTGTCTTCTGAGATCTTGGGAAGGCAGGAGATCTTTATTTTTGTTGGTCCTGTAAGAAGAGATTGGTAGGTCTTTTGTGGGGCTGCCAATTTTAGATTTTGAACATGTACCCAGGAGGGAAATCCTGGTAGCTTAGCAGCCATGGGTGTAGTGAGGATGACCTTAAATGGGCCTCTCCACTTTTCCTGCAGGTGGCCAGGTTTGGCTGTACATTTCAGATAAACTAGATCTCCCATTTGGAGGGTGGGAGTTATTTTGGTGGTGTCAGAGGGCTGTGGTAACTGATCATGAGTATGCGACCAAAGGAGAGAACGGAGAAAAGTGAGGAGAGGATTGAGGAGAGTGGGGGGAATGTTAGGGGGTTCTACCTGAACTGTGATAGGGAGGAGTGGATGGCCATAGAGGAGATCAAAGGGACTGAGCATGAGTGGTCTTTTAGGGAGGGCCCGAGGTGAAGAAGGACTAGGGGTAGGAGCTTTGTCCAGTCTAGGTGGAGCTCGAGGGAGAGTTTGGTGAGAGTATTTTTTAGTGTGCGATTGTCACGTTTGACTTTACCTGAAGATTGGGGGTGATAGGGAAGGTGAAACCACCAGTGAATATTTAAGGATTGTGCCAATTTTTGAGAAATAGAGGAAACAAACTCAGGCCTGTTGTCTGACAGGATAGAGGCTGGGAGACCAAACTGTGGGATGATGTCTGTGACTAAAATCGTTGTTACTGTGGAGGCCTTCTTATTGGATGTAGTGAAGGCATCCGCCCATCCCGTGAAGGTGTCTACCAATACCGGGAGGTACTTAATCCTCTTTATTGGAGGCATATGTGTGAAGTCCACCTGCCAATCCACAGCAGGGAGACATCACCTGGCTGGTGGGTAGGAAAGGGAGGGGGCCTAATATTGGAGTTGGGGTTTGTGTGCTGGCAAATTGAGCAGGATTGGGTAATCTGTTTAAGGTATTGTATGTCTCCTGGAGATAGGGAAAGGGATTGGCAGAGAAAGGTGTAAAGAGCATGAATGTTAGGATGAAAATGCTTATGTAAATAGGAGATAGGGGTTTTAACCTCAGTAAAGTGTGAAATGCATACTTAAAGTCAGTATAAATGTTGACAGTTTTGTCTTTTGCCAGAGTTGGAGCTCTGGCCAGGGCAGTCAGTTCTGTCTTCTGGGAAGTAGTGCCCAAAGGGAGAGGCATGCCTCAATGATGGCAGACTCAGACACAATGGCATATCCAGCTCTTCGCTGTCCATTGTGAATGAAGGAGCTGCCATCAATGAACCAAGTGTAGTCAGCCTGAGAAAGGGTGCCCTCCTGAATGTGGTCTGTGCAGGGAAGGAGCTCTTCAAGGATCTCAGGGCAGGAGTGAACTAGGGGTGTTGAAGAGAGAGGAAGAAGAGTAGCTGGGTTAAGTGGGGGACATGAAATGAAAGTTAGAGTGGGATCCTCGACCAAAACCACCTGGAGGGATAGGATACGAGAGGGGTCATGGTGTAAAGTCCCTTGTATGTGAGGAGTTCCAAGAGGCTATGGGGGGAGTAAACAGTAAGGGGAGACCCAAAGGTAAGTTTTTTGCTTTCCTGGATTAAGAGAGAGGCAGCAGCCAGGGCCCTGATGCATGGGGCCCATCCCCTGGTTGTGGGATCTAACTGTTTGGAGAGGTATGCTAATGGAGCAAAGGAGAGCCCTATGTTGTGTTCCAGAACTCCTAAGGCAAACCCTTTCCTCTCAGAAACATAAAGGACGAAGGGATGAGTGAGGTCTGCCAAACGAAGTGCCAAGGCTTGTAATAGGTCTTGTAAGAGGGTTTTAAAATGACCTGACACAGGCTGAGAGGGGTCCAGGGGCTCTTGAATGGAACCCTTGGATGACTCATATAGAGGTTTGGCCATTAGACTGAAGTTGAGTACCCAGGCTCTGAAATAGCCAGCCAGGCCAAGAAAGATGAGAACTTCAGCCTTAGTGGTGGGGGCAGGGAGAGAGGTGAGCAAGGTCTTATGATCTGTGGTGATAACTTATGAGTAGGGGAGATAGATAGGTCCAGGTAAGTTACCTGGGTGAGAGACAGTTGAGTCTTGTTAGGGGACACCCGATATCCCTTTTTCCCAGAAAACTAAGCAGGAAGGCAGTGTGTTGTTGGCTATCCTTGAGCGAGGGGCTGCAGAGCAGGAGATCATCTACATACTGGAGGAGTTTACTTGGGGAGAGATGGAGGGTAAGGAGATCCCTAGCCAGAGCTTGGCCAAAGAGGTGGGGACTGTCCCGGAACCCCTGAGGCAGAACAGTCCAGGTCAGTTGTTGGGAAGTATAAGAATTTGGATCAGTCCAGGTGAAGGCAAAGAGGTTTTGGGGCTGTGGGTGGACAGGGATAGTGAAGAAAGCATCTTTTAGGTCCAGGACTGTGAAATGGGTGGTGGTACCAGGGATGTGAGACAGGAGAGTATAGGGGTTGGGTACCACCGGGTGTATTGGAGTCACTGCCGCATTGATTAAGCAGAGGTCCTGTACCAGCCAATAAGACCCATTGGGCTTTTTTACAGGCAGAATAGGAGTGTTATAGTAGGGGGAGTGGGTTGGGCGAATAAGGCCCTTAGAAAGAAGCTCTGAGATGATAGGCTTTAATCCCTGTAAGTGGATTAGAGAGATGTGATATTGAGGTTGGTTTGGGAAAACAGAGGGGTCCTTGAGAGTAATAAAGATTGCCTCGTGATGGGTAGCGACTGCAGGGTTCTGGAGGTCCCACACAATGGGATCTACCAGTGTAGCAGGTAAGGGCAAGGGGTCAGGAGGGGCTTGTGGAAGCAGAGCGCCCATGATGGCAAGGAGGGGCTGAGAGGATGGAGACAAGGGGTTAATGGGTCATGGCTTAAGAGGGGGTGGGTTTAAGGTGAGAGTGACCTGGAATTTTGACAAAATATCCCTTCCCAAGAGTGGGGTGGGGCAATTAGGTAGGACTAGGAAGGAGTGAGTAAAAAGCGTATCTCCCAGTATGCAGGTTAGAGGAAAAGTCATTAAGGGATGGGTAGGAGTTCCCTCCACCCTGACTATGGAGGTTAAGGAAGGCTTGGTAGGTCCCCAGAACTCTGTCAAGGCAGAAAAAGTGGCGCCAGTGTCTAGGAGGAGAGAGATAGGCCTACCATCAATAATGGCCATTACCTTGGGCTCCCGTAAGTTATGGTCATCGGGCCTAGGAGTCCTGGGCTCCATCAGTCCTCAGCCACAGTCGCCAGTCTTAAAAGATCAGTTAGGGAGGAGGGACAGTGAGGGGGCTTAGACCCTCCACCTTGAGGGGTGGAGGGGCAGTCCATCATCCAGTGGCCTTCCTGTTTGCACTTAGGACATGGCCCCGGTGAGCGGTGTGGTTTAGGACAAGCACGGGCCCAGTGTCCCTCAAGACCACACTGAAAACATGGGCCAGGAGGTGTTCAGGATTTTTCCTGGCCTCAGGAGTTAGAGGTCAGAGGCTTTTGCTGGAGGGCTTGTGCCAACATCTGGAATTTAGCCTTATGTCTCCTCTCCTTATCAGCCCTTTGTTGTTCTCGGTAATTATAGACTTTGAAGGCCACGTTTAAAATTTCAGCCTGTGGAGTCTGAGGGCCATTTTCTAGCCTTTTCAGCTTTTTTCTGATATCTGGAGCTGACTGGGAGATAAAATGGGTCATAAGGATAATTGTCCCATTCTTAGTTTCAGGGTCACCTTTTGTATGGCATCGTAGCGCCTCTGTGAGCCAGGACAAGAAACTAGCTGGATTTTCCTCTTTTTCTTGTTGGATTTCTCTAAGCTTATCAAAATTAACAACCTTTTGGGACTACTTCTTTAATCCCACCACTAAACAGGTAACCATCTGATCCCTAAGTGTTCTGTCACTGGTTTGGTAATTCCAATGAGGCTCCTCAGTAGGGACCGCTGTAGCTCCTACAGGATGGGTGGGGGTGGTGCAATGGACCTCATCTGCATGTGCCCTAGCCATGTCCCAGACACGTTGTTTCTCCTCTGGAAGGAGGGTGGAGGAAAGAATGAGATAGATGTCATGCCAAGTAAGGTCATAGGATTGAGCCAAGTATTGAAATTCCTTAACATAAGAATCAGGGTTAGTGGTGAAGGAGCCAAGGTGCTTTTCTATCTGAGAGAGGTCAGCAAGAGAAAAGGGGACATGGACCCTCACAATGCCTTCCTCTCCAGCCACTTCCTGGAGAGGGTAGATGGAAACCGGCTGACTGGGGGGTCCATGAGAGTGAGTATGGGGGGGCTCATGGGATCCTGTGGTCCCGGGTGGGTGGAAGGGTGGGCAGAAGGAGGGATGGGAGGAGGAGCAGGAGGAGGAGTGGAAGGAGGAGCATAAGGAGGGGTAATAGGAGAAGTGGGAGGAGGGGCAGGAGGAGAATCAGGAGGAGAGGTGGGAGCCAACAGCTGAACAATGGAAGCCCATCTTTGATAAGGTGGAGGCTCGTTAGCAGGGTCAAAAAAAGGGAAAGCTTCAGAGTCAGTAGGGGATTCAGAGAAGGATTTGGCTGGTTTTGAGACTGGTTTAGAAGCTAGTAGGACCTGTGCAGGGGAACAGGAGGTACAGAGGGAAGGTTTGGTGCGGAGATAAGAAAAGGATTGGACGTAGAGAAGTTCCTTCCATTTGCCAGTGCGCTCACAGAAATTGTATAGATCCCTTAAAATATTGGGATCAAAAGTGCCATTAAGTGGCCATTTGGAGGCATTGTCCAGTGGATATTGGGTCCAGGCCTGATTACAGAGAAAAATGAGTTTTCATGGCTTAAGATCAGGCGTGAGGTGTAGAGGCCTAAGGTTGGCCAGGAGACATCCCAATGGGGTGTCTGAGGGAATTTTGGAAGTTCCAACTCCCATGGTGAGGCCTGACCAGAGGAGAGATATGGTGGGCCTCCCCAAAATATCAGGTCCTCAGGAGAGAGAGAGAGATGTGGAACACACCACCCAGAGGGAATGTCTTCACCACAGGGTGGGCCACAGTCCCTAGTGGGGAACCTGGTTCCTGGGACAAAAGCGAGCTGAGAGAGAGAGAGAGAGAGAGATCACAGCTCTGCATGTGAGGAGGACTTACCAAGGGAGAGAGGATCTTGAGGGAAGATTCGCTGGTGGTGGATGGCGCTTGGAGGTGCTCTGGGGCGCAGGAACTTCCCTGTGAGCTAGTGGGAAAGTGGCACTTTCTAGGATCAGGGGTCCCAGTAAAGCAGCTCAGATCCAGGAGGAAAGCCGGGAGAGCAAGTTCAGTGCCTGGAACTCAACCCAATCCCGGGTTTCGGCACCAAATGTTAGGAAAAATGCCACACAAAGAAAACTCACGAGAAAACTCATGTCCAAGGTCAGGGTTTAATAGGAGGTACAAGGTAGTGCAGGAAGAAGAAGGACAAAAGGGAAGGGGTTCAGGCCAGGCATGGCCTTTTATAGGAGAGGGAAGGTAAGGGGTTAGCGCATACACTGGGGGTCCCTGATGGAGGTGGAGCTTGAGTGGAGCTTCTTTTTGGGAACACGGGAAATCTCGTTCAGGGGGAGGGAATGACTCCATTTTTCCATGAGGTGCCACTAATTTATAAAATGGCAGCATTATTGTTCTGTCAGCATCCACATTTTATGAAGGCAAAAGGAAAACATGGCCATTGGTGGAATCAGAAGCAATGAAGGCATTAAGTCCTTGTAGATGCATTTCTCTGTTTAAATAAATGGAAGAAATATTTTTTTCAATTTTTGGCTAAATCTATGGTTCTTTTCAGAGTCCATGGAATGATTTTTCGGTAGTATTCTCATTCCTAAAAGTGAAGCAGTCACACTTATACCATGAGAATGGGCCAAATTTAAATGAAAAATAAATGTAAAATTATTTAATAAATATTATCAGATAACTAGAACATGGGGAAAATGAGACTTACATTTAAAATTGTTGTTCAGGCCAGCTTATCTCACCAAAGCATTTCATGTCCTAAATTCTGACAAATGTCCCATTCGGTTGTTACTCAAAGGACCGTGATGAACAGAACAAATGTTCTTCTAGATAAATGTACTCCATGTTTCAAAACAAAAACCAATGTGTGTTGTTTAAATTTTTTTCTGCTCTTTTATTTCTTGAAACAAATATTATCTCATGACCCATTTTTGCACTTTTTGGATTTTTGTAATATTTATTTCTAATTTTAATATAAAACCCATATAAAATGCCTCAGTCAGGTTCTCATTATTCAAGAAAAACCTTAGGAATATTTTTGAGATATATTTGTGTCAGAAATAATTCATCACCATTCTATTCATGTGCTTCAATTTTTGTGGGTTTGCTGAAATTTTTACAAATTCCTAAAATAATAGTAATAGTGCTAAAACACTAAAGCCACTGAATAATAACCAATATAATTATTTACAAAAGCTATTGTAACACAGCAAAATTACAATACATGTCACAATGTGCAAAAATGACAAAAAGGCTCAAAGTCAACTGATTCTGTAAAGAATGCCTCTGTTGTTGAAATACAAATATTAGATCCACCACAACTTACAATATTTCATTTTTATTCTATATAGTAGAAATATCTTTCATAAAGATCTAAGATCTTTCATGGAAAACAAAGACATATGACATGTGACTCTTAAGGACAGAGGATATAAAATATTTGTCTAAAATGTGCAAATCTGAGTTCAATTCACAGTCACAGAAGGAAAATAAAAGCATGTTGTATATCAAATTGTATCTTAAATAGTGAAATATCTACAGTGTTTAATACTAAGCTGAAAGCAGGGATCAGCATATGATTTATACTCATCATGTAACACTACATCTTTCACATTGAAACCTGTGTCAAAAAAAGAGGAAGGCAATTGAAAACTGTTTAGGGCTGGCATGGTGGCACATTAATCACAGTAATCAGGAGGCCAAGGCAGGAGGTTCTCAAGGCCAACCTGGGCTACATACTGAGACCCTGACTCAAAAATAAATAATTTAATTAAAGAACAGGAAAAACACACTGTTGAAAAAACAGATAACAAATCTTAGGAGACAGTCACATGTCATATGTCTTTGTATTCCAAGAAAGATGTTGGATCCATTTGAAAGGTATTTCTAATATATAGAGTAAAACCTTCTTAAGTGTTGTATTAAATACAAATGAACAAAGATGTTCATCGAATTCTTAGAGAATTCCAGAGTTCTAACATAAACTAAATAACACTCAAGAGAAATTTCTGTATAAATTATGACAACTCACACATTATTTATAAACACACAAATGTAACTTTTATTTTAGTTTGAGTGATTATATTAATAAAATAACTTACAAACCATCGATTAATAGTATCTATGTAAAATGTTTAATGTATTGTGATGCATCAAAAATATACATCTTCTTAAAACGTTTCTTCTTTTTATTTTTTTGGTCCTTCACCCTTTTTTTGAAGTCATCATAAAGCGCGTATGCAAATATTTATTGAAAAGTATCAGGACCACAGCAGGAATTAGGCATGCAGTATTAAGCACAGTGAAAATAAAACTATGCAAACATTTTTTAAAAGAATAGGTAAAATTCAGATACATTACAAATCTTCCTCTATTTCCCAGAATTATCAGATAGAAAAAAGTTGTGAAAGATAAATACATCTATGTTTAAACTCAACACTCTGTACTGTATTTAGCATTTAATGACAATGTAAGCTTGGAAAATGTTACTTCTGAACCGAAGAATAAGCAAGATTGATTAAAACTTTCAGTGATTTCTTGTTCAACAGTATGAATGAGCTAGAAAGACAAATTATAGATTTTAAATTTTTAACAAATCATGATCAATCCATAAGACCAAACTAAAATCAGTTCATTAATTCTCACAGTCAGAAAACATAAATTGCTATTACTGTATTAAAAACACAACTCAAGAAAGGATAGCTGTTATAGCACTTTGTAATAAACTTTGACTTGAATAGAATCCCCTTTTTTAGATTTAAACATTAAGGCATATGTTTTAGTTCTAAATTCATGCTTATAGATTCTAAATATTTCATGTGACAGAATGCTTTTCTCTTACTTTTAGAAATGAAGTGCCTAGTCAGTTAAGGAAAACTATAAATGTGGTGTGTGTTAATACATACACGAGGTCCTGAACCTATCTTCAAGTCCACAGGGATGATCCAAGAACAACACACTAGGTTTCTCCTGGGGCAGAAAAATACAAATGT